TGTCTCCCCTGCCCCAGTGCCGGGCACTGGGCAGCCCCCGAGACAGGCCTTTGCCCCAGCCACAGGGTTCAAGGGTCATGGCCCACTCCCAGTTCTTTCCCAGCTCTGTCCCTCCCCACAGGGCCCTGCACTGGCACAGAGGCGCCAGGCCCAGTGATGCCACCCCTGCCCGGGCACAGGAAGTGGAGATCCCAGCCCCTCACCCGCCTGGGGCCCAGCCCAGCTACACATGCCCCTTCCCCAGGCAGTTCCCTCCTGCACACACCCACCAGACACAGGGCAGGGCAGAGGCAGTGGCTGTGCTCATAGACCCAGATGCAATCGGGATGGGGGGTGGGCACACAGGCAACTCCAGGCCCCAGGGCACCACCAGACCAACTCCACGCCCCCCTCGCTGGGGCATGAACACGCACACACTGCCCCCTGCTGGCCAGACAGGGCGCATACCCCACCCTCCCACCCATGGCTGCCAGAGGGCTCAGAGACAGTGATCAGCAGGGAGCCTGATTTTCTCTGATAAAAAAAAAAAAATCCTTATTTTTCAGATATAAAAAAGTAATCCAAAATCCACACTTTTTCCATGATTAAAATGAAACACCACTATATATATATATATATATTAATGGAGTTTCATTTTAATCACAGAAAAATGTGGACTTGGGGTTACTATTTTTAACTGAAAATTGGGGAGTTTTTTTAATCACAGAAAACCAGGATCCCTGGTGATCAGGAGTCCCTCAGCCAAAAAAACTCCCCAGCGTTGCGGATGCCCATCCAAGCTGAGCGGCAGCCCCTGCTGGCTCAGCCTCTGAGCACATAGGGATGTATCTGCACCCCCAGGCCTTGCTGAGCTGTGCCCTTCACTGCCGCTCTCTGAGCCCATCTGTACTAACCCAGGAGCTGCATGGAAGCAGCGGGCTGGATCCTGCCGGAGACACAGTGCCTGGGATCGGGCATGGTTCAGGACCCTACCAGCACAGGCAGGGCCCAAAGGGTCCCCAGGGCACTACTAGGAGGTCGCTATGAAAATAAAAGGGGAGGAAACCCTAGTTATTTCCTCCAGGTTTTATTAGAGATCCAGGGATGAGTACATGGCAAGAGGGGCTGGTTACAAGCACGGGCACCAGAGCTCGGCTGGGCCCCTGTCCATTGAGGAGGGTCCCCAACCCCAGCGTGAAGGTGAAGGAGATGGGGGGGGGGTGTCTCACCCCTGAAGGAGCCCAAGAGATATGTTCTATGCACCCTACTCCCCCCCTGACACTGCTGCCTGCTGGGGTGATCACGTACCCCCCTGACCAAGAAACCTTCATCCATGACACTTAGCAGCTCAGACTGGGGTCTCCCTCCCCTTGGTCCTGGTGCCAGTCAGCAGAATCCAGTAAGGGACCCTCTGACAGCAAACTGGTGGAAAGTGATGAAGAAGTTCAAGTTCAGGCCCTGGCCCTTTCTCCTAATGCCAGGCAGCTCATGAGTGGGGTGGGAGATGGGTGTCAACAGGCCTGCTGTGGAGGGCCAGAGTGGGCCGGCAGCGGGCACTGGTCCAGCTCCCACTGGCCTAGTGCCTGATAGAGACCAGGGGCCGGGAGGCTGGGGATCAGGGCTGGGGGACATCAGCAGGGGGTGCTGACAGGGGACCGGGCATCAGGTCTCCTCAGCTGAGACCCAGCAGGTGAGGGGGCTGGAGGGCAGTGTGGAACTTGGCACTGCCCCCTCTTGCCTGGTGAGGGGAGAGTGGGGCAGGTGGGGCAAGAACACAGGGAACCCTGGCAGGGATAGGGCAGTGGGTCTGGCAGGTAGAATCTGCCCACAGGGCTGAGACAGGGCAGGAAAGGCCACATGGGAACAAAGCAGCATTGTGAAAGCCCTTCACACGTGTGTCACGCTCACCAAGACCCGTGCACCAGGATGAAGGTGGGGGGGGAGGGTTTGGCCCTCCAACCAGCTCCTCCGAAGGCTGCAGGCGCCACCAGTGCCATGGCCCAGTAGTCCAAAGCCACAAGGAACCCAGGCATCCGGGGAAGTCAGAGCTTGAAGATCTCGTCCTCCTCATCCCGCAGCACAGTAGCCCGCAGCGTCTTGGTGAGCGGCACTGGGCCCAGCAGGGAGCGCTGCTGGGTGCGGGGTGAGGGTTCGTTCCGCCCAGGGACCGTCCTGCCAGCTCCCGCCTCGGCCCCAGACATGCTGGGGGGAAGGGGGGGGGGGGAGAAGAGGCAGTCAGAGCTCCCCATGCCTTCTGTTTGCTCTTCTCTGCCCCCCACGCCCACATCTCTCTTCTTCCACCCCCGCCAGTTCCAACCACTGCCCCATGCTGCCAGCTGGGAGAGAACCTCCCTGCCTCAGAAAGCATGGCTGAGGTTCTACCAGCCGCCCTGATCAGGAAGGGCAAGGCTCTCTGATGCACTTCAAACCTCTGCCTGGGTCCCAATGTCCCTGCATGCTACAATCCCCTATTAGTGCCCCCAGACCCCATAGATAGCTACATCCCCCCACTGCAAGTCTCCCTGGAAAACCATGCGGCCACAGCAACACAACAGGATCTCCTAGGCAACGGGGGGGCAGGATGGGAACCGCTGCGGTCTCAGCTGGGGCGTCTCACCGCATGTCACACAAGAAAAAAGGAGGGGGTGCTGTGTTCCTGCTTTGCCCCACACGGGTACCCCTTGAGGGCAAGAGCAAGGTGCAACCCCAGCCCCCTAGGGTGCAGGCCCCACCCCTAGGCACACAAGCCCCGCCCCCTCATTTTTAGTTTCTGATGTTATCAATAAATATCATCACCCCACACTTCCCATCTCTGCCCCACACCCTCTGTGTGGCTTGGGCTGGGCTAGCCCTGGAACTGGAGCCCCCCTGGAGGGGAGTGGGAGTCCCATACACTCAGGCACCAGGGGAAGTGCCCTCCTGGGTTCTTCTCTGAGGTGGCTTTAATTCCTCCTGCCCCATGGAGAGGTCCAGGGACCCCCACACCGTGCAGGAGGCAAAGAGAGAGTCTCTTAAAGCCCAGCCAGCAGGTGGTAGGTTCAATCCCCGGCTGAGACAGCAACGCGAGAGTAGCACTCACGCGATCTTCCCTTCCCGCAGCTTCTTGGCTGCGGCCTCCTTGGACAGGCTGATCTGCGAGTCCAGCTGGCGCAGGAAATCCGTGGCTGATAAATCATGGCGGGGGCCAGAACAAATCCTGGCTCCATCCCCATCCCGGGGCTGTGACTCCGGCTGCTCCTCACCCTCGGGGGGCTGCCTGGCTCCTTCCCCCTCCTGCAGGATCAAGCCTTTTGCCCGCACCTGGACCGGGATGTACAGTGTCCGCTTGAGGAAGATGGAGTCGTTGGTGTAGAGCCGGTTGGCGCGCTTGATTTGCTCTGTCTGCGGAGAACCACATGCAGGGTTAAGCTCCCATCAGGTGCCTGCCCCATCCCACTTCACCCTGCTGCCAAAATGCAACCACTTCTGGGGCTGAGCACGCCCATGCACCCAGCCAGCCCTATGGGATCCAGCAGAAGGAGAAGGCAGGGGGAAGGATGTGGGAGTTCACTGAGAGAGTGAAACTTGGAGCATGACCAGCTGCATGCAGACGGCAGCGCTGTTGTCAGTGGTCCCAGTCGGGCTGGGGGCGAGGTTTCCACTCCCCTGCCGGAGCCCCAAACCAGGCTGGCGCAGAGACTGGGATACAAAGCACCCCAGAAACCCAGGGGCAGTGGCAGGAGCAGTCCAGCAGGGGGCAGCACATGTGGGGCAGGGCCCTGCCAGAGCTGCCCAAGCTGGGGGGCCTGGGGCTGGCCCAGGGCTATTTCAGATCCCATGAGTAAACAGAGTCACATGCCCACGGCCTGCCCAGACCTCCACCCCAAGCCAGCTGAGTCAGATGGGAAGGGAAAGTGATCCCTTGTGAGAGCCGCGTGAGGACCGGCACGCACAGAAAGTGCCAAAGGGGAAAGGAGAGGAGATACAGAGGGAGAGTGTGTGAACACAAGTGTGTAGGTGTGCGGGAACATGCGCACGTGTGGGTTGACAACACATGTGTGTCCACACAATCAGGACCAAGGGATGCATCAGGAAGAGCATCTCCTGCATTTGTGTGTAGGAACAAGCCACCCCGTATACACGCGCTCCCCCCACACTCAGAGCGAGGTCGACGAGGCACCTTTGCTATAGAGAAACTGAGGCACAGAGCAGGGACGAGCCCTGCTCCAGGTCACAGGGACGCAGCTCATGGAGCAGCAGAGACACAAGGAGACCCGATCCCCAGCAGGGCCCAAGACATCCCAGCGACAACACCCAGGAGTCCCGGCTCCGGGCCCTGGCACTAACCCCTCGGCCCCGCTGCCCTCCCAGCACCAGGCACAGAACCCAGGAGGCTCCCCGGGGCCTCACCGTGACCCCGTAGCGCAGCGCCAGCCCCGGCAGCGTGTCCCCCGGCGCCAGGCGATGCTCCAGCCGCCGCTCCCGCACCGGGGATGCCGCCGACGTGACCAGGCTGCCGTAGGAGCGCGCCCGGCCACCGTGCAGCAGCCCTGCCGCCCCGGGGGACCCCGGCCTGGCCGGTGGGGAGGCCATGCTGGGGCAGGACCCGGGGGGCAGGTGCCAAAGGGGGTCACAGCCCCGGCCTGCACCTGCCTCGCGCAGGGCGGCTCATGCCGGGGCCCCTGCCAGGGGAAGCGATGCTCCCAGCCCCTCTAGTGCCCCCACCCCTGCCCCATGCTCCCCTGCCCCCTTTCTAGTGCCCCTGCCTCAATGCCCCCTTTCTAGTGCCCCCACCCCTGCCCCAGGGAGCGCAACGCTCGCAGCCTCGCAGAGCAGAACAGCGGAGAACAGAGCCACGTACGCAAAGCCCTCTGGGACACGTAGTCCTCCTCCCCCTCACAAAATGGCCGCCCCCGGAGGGGCGGGGTGAGGGCGCTAGGACTCCATTTCCCGGCGTGGCTCGGGTACTGCCTGCGGGCCCCGGGTTGGCGCGGGCGAGAGTGGGGCAGGCCGGGAGCTGCAGTCCCCACCGCGAGGCAGGCTGGGAGGCGCCGGCCCGGAAGTGGGGGCCGAAGCGGAAGAGGGCCGGTCTGCCCGGTCTACGGTGGCTGCGCGGGTCCAGCCAGCGCGGAGCGGGGCCGCGGCCGGGGCGACATGGCTTTCAAGCGCGAGGGCGACGACGTCAGCCAGCTCCGTGTGCTGCAGGTGGGCGGGGCCTGGGGTGACCCCGGCCCCTCCCCCCATCCCTGCCGTGGGACCCCCCCACCAGTTCCCTCCCACCCCTCCATGCTGCTGAGGGACCCCCCCCGAGCCCCACCCCAAAGACCCTGCTCATTCACCACCCCCATGCCCCCCCACCTAGCCCTGCCCCTCCCCCCCAGCACACCCTGCTCATCCAGGGTCTGTGGGGCTGGGGGCAGTTCATTGGCGCCCCCCCGGGGGTCTTTGCTCCCTTGGGCTGGGGGGCTGCAGGCATCGTGGGCAGGAGCTCGTGAGGCCGGTGGCAGAGGTGAGGGGGACCCACCGCCGCGTCACGGAGCCCCCTGGGCCTTGGGCTGTCATTGCCCCTCCAGAGACTGCCTGGACTGCGCCCGGGTCTGGGAGCCGGGGCCGGGGACACGGGGGTCTTGTCCATGGTTGTTGCCTCCTCCCTGTGTCCAGCTGCCTCCCTGCCCCATGCCGCAGCATCCCCTGGGCCCAGACCGTCGCTCCCGTGACGCCAGTCGCTTCTGCGCTCGAGAGAGGAGCGGTCCAGCACATTGGGCCTCGGCTTCATTCGGGCCCGTCAGGCCCCCTCCTCATTAGGGGTTTTTTGCAGAAGAGGAGAGTGTCCGACCTGCTGGCCAACTACATCCCAGAGGACGAGGCGCTGCTGCTGAGGACTGGCAGGTGGGTCAGGGCCGGAGCAGCCCCGGGGCCGGCAGAGGAACCCAGCCACAGCCCCACTGGGGCCAGGCCGCCAGCCTGTGCTGCTGTTCGGCTGCTTGTCTGGGTCGGGCTGCACAATTAGGGTAGGTCTCAGCCTCGTTAGACCCCAGGCCCCTCTCGGAAAGTCCCAGGAAGTCTTGGTTTATCCCAGGAGGCCACGAGGTCAGGACTTCTGGGCTTGCTCCGGGAGAGGCACTTCTCTTTGCAGTCTGTTTCCCCCAGCTTTTAATTGAGGGTAACGAGACTGTGCGGGAGGGAGCCTGACCCGTCAGTCCTGTAGTGAGGGGTTAGGACACCGAGTTCTCTTCCCTCTGCGGTCACTGAGCCCCTGCCTTTTCCTCCCAGGTAAAGACAAGGGTGGGACGGAGCGAGTCCCATGGACTGTGCTGCATTGGGGAGCTGGCCGTGGTTATGGGTATGAATGCCCCAGAAAGGAGTCTGGCATGTCTCCCCACATGGACCCATGTCTCCTGCCCACTCTGACCCTGTCTCCCCCACAGGTACGCATGCACCGTGTGCTTCCACCGCCCCGTCTTCGACACACTGGACATGCTGACTGTGCATCGCGCCGGCAAGAAACACGTTGCCAGTAAGGCCATGCTTGGGGGCACTGAGCCTGGGGGCACCGGGCCAGGAGGGCCCTGCCAGGGCAGCAGCCCCAGCCTATTTCATTACCAAATCCCTTATAAACCCGCTAGGCTCCACTGGTTCCGCTGACCCGGTCGAGATAGCAGAACGCCAGGCCAGATTTCCTGGGCGTTGGCAGGTCGGGCAGTAGCCATCGGGGTTGGGGTAAGGTCAGGTCCTGCTGGGGGCAGGGGCTGGATTAGACCAAGGGTTTCAAACTCCCTTGGCCCATGGGCCAAATCAGGGGCTCCTCTGAGAACCACACTGATGCAGCTTATCCACTGCTCCAGCCTCATATCACAGCCGTGGTCTGCACCCCTGAATCCCCAGCCCTTCTGGGAGCCCCACAGGCCAGATGACCCAGCTCCACAGCCTGGGTCTGACCCACAGGCCATATGTTTGGCACCTCTGGATTAAACCGCTCCTGGCTGCCTGCCCTGCTGTTCTCTGCCTCTGACAGCAGAGCCCTCCTAGCACCTCCACAGCCCCAGGGCTCCCACACAAGCATTTCATCAGGGCCAGCCCTCATGCAGACTGCCATGTGCCATCCAGAGAGCCCAGCATGTCAGAACTGCCTTGTCCAATTGCTTCAGCTCGAGACCCCCATGCTGGCCCTGGTCTGTGCCCCCACCGTGAGCCTCCAGCTGGGTTGAGCTGGGCTCTGCTCACCCAGGCCCCTGCCTCCCCCTGTCTCTAGGCCTGCAGACCTTCTACGGGAGGAAGCGGCGGGCGGAGGAGACGGGCACACCGGTAAGCCCCACATGTGGCCCTGCCTCTTCTCCCCCCCCATGACCCCAGCCCCGCCCTTACCCTGTCTGTGTTCTCTGCAGGGCCTCCCATGCCCCGCGCCCCTGCTGACTCAGACTCGCGCCATTGCCCAGAGCGCCCTGCTGAAAGCCACTCCCTACAGCAGCTGCTGCCGGAGGAACAGGTAGGGCTGGGGGATATGTGCCATGGGCGGGAGGCTGCGGGGAGACCCGCTTCCAACCTGGACAAGGCAGCTGCTTTTGGGAAGCACCACCAGCTATCCCATTACCTCCTAGTAAGGGTGCTGTTACACCGCCTGCTCTAGGGGCCCAGTCTTCAGGTGGGCTCTGCTGACTTATACCAGCTAAAGGTCACACCTGAGAGAAACAGCGCAGGGAGGCTGCTGTCTCCCCCTGGCCTGCTTTGCATTAAGATGTCACCTGGGAGAAGGGAGTGAGATCCAAGGGTCACAGGGTAGGGCAGAAGGCCAGGTGTTGGGACTCCTGGGTTCTCTTGGCAGTGGGGTCCCCACAGGAGGAGTCGTGGCCATGAGATACTGCTGAACAAGGCCTTGTCTCCTCCTGTTCCAGGTGCAATGGAGGCAGTGTGGGAGCACAGCCGGGGCCTGGCCTCAGGCATAGTGACAGGAAGGCACTTCCAGGGCTCAGCAGCTCCCAGTCGCAGGGTGAGGAGGGTGGTGTAACTGTAGATACCACCCCTGTGGTGCTGCTCCCAGGGCACAGCCACCAAGCAACAGGTAAGAGTCCCTGCTTTGAACATGCTCCACTATCACCATCCACGGCTGGGCTGGGCTGGGCTGGATTGGGTGCCATGGGGGCTTGCAATAGCATGGTCTAGTGGTTGGAACCCCACAGACTGCGCCAGGACTCCTGGTTCCTCTTCCAGGTTTAGGTAAGACTGGAGTACAGGGAATCAGGACTGAGGCTCCTGCAACCCATTTGCCTTGCTGCCAAGTCCCTGCCTCAGTTTCCCTGGGGGAGAGGGCTGCAAGGTGCTTGCAGGGGGCTTCTAGGTGGCTGTGGAGAGGCAAAGGGCTGTTGTGGGAACCATGCACATGCCTGCTGCCAGCCCCTGCATGCTGCCCACCCTACCCCTGCGGAGGAGCAGCAGCAGGGCACTGGGGCTCCATTCTGGCCCAGCAGATCCCATGACCCGCTCCTCTCTCTGCTGCAGATGCCCAGCAGGACGCTGCTTCAAGGCCCAAGGGTAGTGGTAAAGGGAAGGCACCACCCACACCCACTCAGCTGGACCCTGTCAGCCCTGAGAGGCGCCGGGAGCTGGAGCACTACCTGCTGCTGCGGAGGTGAGGGAAACAGGCACAGGGGCACATGAGATACTAGCATAACTAGGGGCAGGAAGAGATGCAGTGGCATCGACTGACCTGGCAGGTCCGTAAGGGAAGGAGCTAGGGGATGAGCCCAAGGGGTGCCCCCCCAATCTTGAATTAGGGGATTTATCTTGTTCAGCCTGGCATTCAGCAGTGCCTACTGGCAAGAGGCTACACTTAGCTGGAAGGCACCTTCCCCCATAGCTGCTGGGCCACTTGATCCCCCCACTGGACCTTGGATGCCAGCTGGAGACCAGAGCTGCCCAGGGCATGGGCATTACACAGGGCTGCCAGCACTGGGTACAGAACCCAGGAGTCCTGGCTCCCTGCCCCATTTGCTGAGAAGTCTCACACTGCCTGATGGGGGGCACTGACTCTGCCCGTCCATCCATTTATCCCCAGCTCGGGCTGGATCCAGGACCCCTCAGGGAAGTGGGTGAAAGACGAGAATGTGGAGTTCGACTCAGACGAGGACGAGCCGCCAGCACCAACACCCCCCTGACGCCAGGGTCACCAGGGACAATAAGACTGGACTCTGCCTGGCTGTTTCCAGGCAGCTCATCGGATCACCATGGGAAGCCCAGAGCCAGGACTGGCTCCTGGGAGGGACGGACTGAGTCAAGGCTTCCCAGTCCCCAGTGTTTCTGAGGCCGCTTGTGAAGCTCCCAATCCCTTCAGCTTGTAAACCAGCTCCAAGCCACAGCCACTCAGCCCAAGTGAGGCAGTGGAAAAGAGGTCAGAGCAGAACCCAGGAGTCCGGCCTCCCTGTTCAGGAGCCCCAGGTGCAAGGTGCTGTACAGACACAAAAGCAATGCCAGTCCGGCTCAGGGAGCTTCTTGGGGATGGATTTGTCCTGATGGCAAAAAGATCCCTCAATTTGCACTCTTGTCCTGTGGTTTCTCCCTGCACCCCCTCATCCAGGTTCTCTGCCCTGCTCCCCTGTGGCCTGAGCACATACAGGGCCTGGGGGAGATAGCAGGACCCCGATCCCCTGCCTTGCTGGCAGGGTGGGGGGAACCGAGCATGGGGTCCATCAACCCAGTTTCAGTGCCTTCCTCTTGGCAGCAGGATGGAGATGCCCGTGCCTGAGGGCAACTGGCAGGTAGCCAGCCTGGACACCAATGACACTGAAGCCACATGCTGTGGTCTCCATGCCCAGGCAGCCTCCCTGCTTGGGACAGGGACCAAGATACCCCGTGCCCTGGCAGAGAGGGAGCTCCATGCCATAGACCCAGAGCCCCTGCTCTTTGGGTGTGGCTGGGCACCTCTCCCTGCAGCTCAGACTCCTGACTACAAATAGCGACAGCCCCTGGCACCACAGTGCCTTCCACAAGTTCCCAGTGGTGGCTGTGGGCTGTGCCAGGGCCTTAAGCACTGGTGCCAGGACTCCCAGCCAGATCTTGAGGGGGCAGGTGCCCCTTGTTTGGCACCATCCTCAGACATGCAGCTGGGTGTTGGGGGAGGTCAGGCTACAGGGACCCCTTGGGCCCGATCCTCTCTGGGTCTCCCTGTGCTTGGCTGAGGGGGCACCTCTCCCTAAAGCCACCGGGCCATTTGAGCCCCCCCCTGCCCTCCAGCCTGTCTGGGCCAGGTCCTGGGTGCCACCCGAACCCAGAGCTGCCCAGGAGACTGGCAGTACCAAGGGATTGCAGCTCTGGGCACAGAACCCTGGAGTCCTGGCTCCCTGCCACTGTGGTGGGAGAGCTCTGTTGCCCCCCGATGCCAGTTTCATAGTTGGTAGGGTCAGAAGTGATCTAAGCAGATCATCAAGTCTGACCCCCTGCCATGGGCAGGAAAGAATGCTGGGGTCAAACGACCCCAGCTAGGTGGCTGTCTAACCTCCTTTTGAAGACCTCCAGGGTAGGGGCGAGCACCACCTCCCTTGGAATTTGGTTCCAGCTCCTAGCCGCCCTGACCGAAGTAGTGCCTCCTGATATCTAGCCTGAATCTACTCTCAGTCAATTTATGGCCGTTGTTCCTTGCTACCCCCGGCAGTGCTCGGGAACAGGGGCTCTCCCATTGCCTGTTGGTCCCCCCTTGGCAAGCTGCAAGTGCATGATTGCAGCCTGCCCCAAGGCCACTGTCTGCTCCCCCCTGCCTTCAGCCTCTTTGGCATAGCCGACCTGGCTTCCCCTGCCCTGTCTCCTCAGCCCCTGCCCCTGTCTGGTTGTTTGGGGGAGATGGCACCACAGCACCCCTGGCTGAGACACCCCCCCACCCAAGGAAGCTGGGCCTGGGGCTGGCTCCCAAGAACAGCCCCTGCTGTTTTGCCCTGGCCACTGTCTTGGTGCCAGCTGCTGCAGGGCCCCTTGGCTGGGTGCTGGAGGGGGAGAGCTGAGGCCACTGCAGCCTGGAGGGAGACTGTAACCCAATCCCCCCGGGTATAAATACTCCAGGCAGCTAGAGCTGCCTGCCTGCACCTCCCGCCTCCCCTCCCCAGTGCCAGCTGCTCTGGGCAAGGAGCGGGGCATGCCTGTTGGGGCATGGGCAGAGCCCACCCCTCCATAAAACCCAGGTGTCCTGCCTGGGTATGCACTGACCACTGAGCCATGCTGTTTGGCCTTGAGAGCAGTTTGAGCTGCAGTGCTCCAGGTGGGGACCCTGGAGTCCTGTCTAACCCCCACAATGGCAGCAGACAGGCCCCATCTCTTCCCCAGACCCCATGGAAGGGAGCAGCCCCCCTTCCTGTTGCCCCTACCCCCAGGACCTCTGCAGGGCTGTCCTGGGGGGTCTCCTTGGGGTGCCTGGCTAGAAGAGGGTGCCCCCCGGCATCCATGCTCCCTGCCTCCCCCAGCACCCCCCCAGCGCCGGCATGGGGGCCTAGTCCCTATGGGTCCATATTGACCTCCCCATGATAGCTGTAATAGGCAGGGCCCTGCCACCCGCTCATCACCCTTGGGTCCCGAGAACCAGGAAGCCCCCCCAGGGAGGAGAGGGCTCAGCTGGGCATGGTACCTGTAGCAGGGGCCTGAGGCTAGGCCAGATTAGGACTGAGAGCTCTGTGGCAATCCTGGGGGGCTGAATGGGGGCTCAGGGGACCCCCCGGGGGCCGCGGGCCCCCCCCCCCCCCCCGATCCCTGCCCTGGCAGGAGTCAGCAGGGTCCTGGCTGGGGGCACAAGGCTAGGGGGCTCCATCATGCTGCCAAGCCAGTGCCTCAGTTTCCTCTTCTGTGTGCAGTTGATTGGGGCAGGGACTTGGAGGCCCCAGCTGGTGGCGGAGGTCCCTTGTGGGAGGTTTGGAAGGAATCCAGTGGGTCTGGCTCCTCTGGGTAGAAGTTCCGAGACCCCTTCCCCTGCACACAGCCTCATCCAAGGGCTCAAGAACAGTCCAGCCATCTCTTTATTTACAGCTCTGAGGACAGAAGTCCTGAAGATCCAAGGGGAGTCTGGGTCGGAGGGGGCTGGGGCTGGGGCTGGGGGCAGCTAAGCGCCGTCTCTCCCAGCAGCGAGTGGGGGGCGGGCAGCACTGGGCATCAGGGCAGCAGAGACACCCACAGACTCAGGCATTAGGTCTTCTTCTGCTTGCGGCCTGCGGGGCACAGAGCGGGGAGTTTAAGCCAGTGGGACCCACCTCCCCCCTTGCTTCAGCTCCCCACAAGAAGTGGCACACAGGGTACAGAGAAGGGAAGTGGGAAGGACCAGGAGGGCCCAGACTGGTCCACCCCGGAGCTGGGCGCAGCTATCAGCTAGCTGCACTCCAGAGCTGGGTACAGCGGTGTTTGGCCTGGGGGGAGCAAGAGGGGTGCACAGTGACGTGGGGCAGGGGCGGCACTCACGCAGCTCGTTGTTCTTGGTGATGGCAATGGAGGCCCGGGCACGTGGTCCCTGCTGCGTGAAATGGTAGCCGAAGCGGACAATAGATGGGCACTTCTCCAGCATGGCGGCCATCTCCATCTCCACCGAATCGCCCAGGCGCTGGCACTGTGGTCACCAAATAGGCACTGTTAGCTGCCCCTGTGGGAGTGCAGAGCCCTGCTCCCTGCCTGGCACTGTCTGTGCAGACACCTGGCACCCATACCTGCCCCATCGTGGCCATGGCTGGGGGATGTACCTGTCCACCACTTGCTGCTGGTCCAGGCTCCCTCAGACCTCCCCATCCCTCCCCGGTGCCACTGGAGACAGGCTCATTCCTTCTGCCATATGCTGTGGTACCCATGATGCGCTGGCAGAGGCAGGGGGTGCAGATGAGCCCCTCCCAGACAAGCTCCCCTGTCCCTCCGGGTCTGGCTGTAGCCCCACCTGGTTGTCCACCTTGAGCTCGGCCAGCGTGCTGTTCTCCCGCATGGCCTTGATAACTGCCATCATCCCCGCACTCGTGATGAAGTTGGACTCGATGTTGAGACTCTCCAGGGTCTTGTTCACCTTCAGCATCTCAGCCACAGCCTGCGGGAGCCCACAGTGAGTGGGTGTGGGGGCAGGCAGGGCAGGGGGCTGCTTCCAACCAGCAAATGCCTGCCCACATCTGGCTAGCATGGCTGGGGGCAGCCGGGAGAAGACACCCCACAGCTGGGCGCCCCGGACTCGGTACCCTGCGGCCTGGCGTCCCATAGCTGGCACACCACAGCCTGGCTCAGGAGAGGTTCCTGTCCCGGCCGTGCCAATCCAACCCCCGGCCTCTACTGAGAGCAGCCCACAGCTGAGCCAGGCTGGGCCTGGGGGCTGCAGGGAAGGATGTGGCCAGTGTGATGTCCAGTAGCCCCCGGCACAGCACTCACCTGAGCCACCGGGTCATTGCTCCGCGTGGCCACCAGGCTGAGCCTCTTCACCTGCGTGTTGGCTTTCATGGCCTCACACACCTCCTTCAGCATCGCCACGGGAATGTCCTGCGGGAACATGGGAGAGTGGGGGTGAGAGTGTGTTCATGTGCACAAACACGTGTGCATGTGTGTGTTGTGTGGGTGGCCACCTAGCACCAAGATGGAAGGGTGGAGAGGGCCATGTGTGTAGGATGGATGAACGAATAGATGGTCTGAAGAACAGACAAGTGCACGGATGGGTGGGCAGACAGGTAGATGAGTGGACAGACGGATGGATGGACAGATGGACGGACAGGTGGGTGGGTGGAAGGACGGATGGATGGAGAGACAGCAGGACCCAGCTGGTGCCAGGCTGCACAGCGCCTGCCCTGCCCCATCCAGAGAGTCAGAGCCAGAGGCCCCCGGAGTGGCTGCCCATGGCTCACTGCCCGGGGTAGAGATCCTGGCTGGTCAGTAGCAAAGCTCCCTGGAGTGCAGGGAGGGCAGGATTGTGCCCCGGAGCCCTGCCCACTCCAAGGCCAACCCCGGGGACACTGCTGCCCCTGCTCCAGGCACCCACCCCTCCCGCCACCAGTGGGGACACAGCACCTTGATATTGTTCAGGTTGACCTCCTCCAGGTCACGGTCATTGCTCCGGATCTTCTGCAATGTCTCTTCCACATTGGTGGGGTTTGGGGGCTCATCTGGCACCGGCTTGTACTTGTCTGGCTGCACCACACCTGGGGGAGTGACACACATGCATGCGCACAAATGCTCACACACACCACCTGCTCGGGGGGGGGAGAACCAACCCTCTCCCTTGCTCCCTGCTGGACCCAATCCCCGGCTGGCCTCTATCAGCCTCTGCCCATCTGGTCAGCAGGGCCCCGGCTGCAGAGACCTCAGGGCAGATGTCCCCTGGGCCCCCTGGGAATCTGCCCCCCTCCCTCCTCAGAGAGCTGGATGCCAGGCTCTTCCCCACCTCCCGTGAGGAACAGATTCATTTCCCCTGTGTCCTGGAGCAGGGTCTCAGGCCTGACGCCACCCTAGCAGCAAAGGGTCTGAGCCAGGCTGGGCCCCAGCAGGAGCTGGGGGACAGGTGGATCCTCCTGTCCCCCCTGCCACCCCAAGATCACTCACTGTTGATGCCCTCGGTGTTGGTGATGTCCCC